GGACAGCTGTTTCATCCTAGTTTGGGAATCATCGGCAGTACTCACCCACTGGGATTTCCCACCGACGACATTGGTTTGGGTCGCGCTAAATCACGAATTGGTAGAAGTTAGAATTCATGAGCCATTGAATCGGGTCGCAGTGGCTGAATGGCATACGAGCTTGAGTTGTAACCGGAAGGTCCTGGGTTCGAATTCCATTGGTGGGTGCGTACTGTGGATGATTCCCAAACTAGGATGAAACAGCTGTCCACTACTCCCTGGTTTTCCATGGTTCTCTAACTGATATCAATACATGATCAACGCGTAAAAACATAACTAACCCTTACAAACCAAACTATAGAAAAAAACGTTTTAATGCGTAATATTTTCTTTGTATAAGTAGTCCCTGTTCTATCTCTGCATCGCTTTATATGAATATATAAGCAGATTCACTTTGTGATTAAATGTCTTAAACTACTACAGACTGATTAAGACAGATGCTTAGTGTAAAAGAGAAAGACCATGTTTCATCAAGCAGTCTACATAAATTGTTTGTTTATTCTAATTTCATTATTTTGAAACTTCTAGTCATACAAATGTAAAATACTCATTTTATCACCAATTAAAATGAATACGAAGATGTTCAAATACAGACTGAACATAGATGGAGGGAGAGATTGATTACTGAATCCTGGTTCATCGAGTTTGCACCCAACACATGCAATAGAAGTGACTCAACGCAAATACCAGAAATATGGAAGATATTATTACCACCAGTCAAATCAGAAGGGGATCATGAATAATGTTAAAATGTAATTCAATTCACATTATAACATTCTAACAAGTTACTTATTTTTACTCTGAAAACATCCTATTTCCCATTTGATTGTATTCTATTGATTACACTAATATTATTTCTGAATTTACTTCATCTTATATTGATTTTATTCAAATGTCTAATCATCACTTTTTACTTATGTTTATGAATGAAGCAAGAAAATTGTGTGAGTACCTTGATATGATTATGAGCAGCAATAAATTGTGCTCGAAACGTGGTCATCAGTAAATATTACTGTATAGCACAGTTTGATTTTATCCAAATAAAATTTTATCCATAATGAATATATTCAATTATTTTGTGTTTACATGAGCCATCTTGTTATAGGCTTCTTAAAATGCATCGAATGGTACTCAGAAAATTTATCCACCCTTAACAATGACCAAAAATTAATATATGGAGATTTTCTTCAGTAGAAATGAAAGACGGTCCTACAGTTAATTTAGCAAAGTATCACTTCTCATAATTATCTGATATCACTGATTCATGGATATTTGGCGTACACAAATCGTAAACACATTCTTTTGAATTTAAAAAATAATTTAAATCCCTATCACCCTCGAACATCAGGGAATCTAGGCATCAATACAAAATGGTATCGGATTACTTTCTGAGGACATATTTTTAATATTTGTAGATGATCTTTTACTTCACCAAATAATTATGGTCTATAATGTGCTTCCTGTCTCTTCGACGGTACAGTCTATGTTCGGTATTCCCATTATGATGTAACTTTTAATATAACTAACCCACGAATCTTAAGATAAGTCATGTGTATACATCGGGACCTAAAGCACTTAGATAATTACTCAGAGGAAACTACTTTTTGAGATTTATGAACAATCCTTTCTTATTTTCCTCAGATGAATTAGTCGACCTCTGATAGTATATTGACTCCTGAATGGGAAACTTTGATGATGCTTTTGATTTCGATGTAGTATTTATTTGTCAGAGGGCATTTAATGATAGAAAGTAGGAACCACTGATTACGGTTCAATAAATTAGTTGGCGGAAAATCTACCAACAAGCAGCTACTGAACAAGAATTAGCCTCTATAGTCTGTTAGCCTATCAGACAACACTTTGTGTTGTTTCAATGATGGGTGCTGTATTAGAGTCACGATGGAAGCACCATCAATAACTTAAATACAGTTACAAACACATGATGCATTCAAATAGCACAAAAAATGTTTGCTTGAGTTGACCGCCAGCCTGCACCTACCAAATGACATAATACCTTTCGTTTAACTGACATTACTGTTCACTGAACTAAGCCGGAGTAATCTTATAGCAAAACTTTATCTAGATAAGTAATAATCAAATTGGTTGGAGGATTTTATCATGAGCTGACATCAGTTAGAGAACAATTGGAAAATCTGGAAGTACAGGACATTCGTTTCCTCCTAGTTTGGGACTCTTCATCAGTACGCACCCACCACCAGGGTTCGAATACAGTACCTTCTGGTTACAAGGAGAGTAAACCCGTAGACCATTAAGCCTCTAGGATCCTATACAGTGGCCCATGAATTCTATGTCGTAAATTGGCAGAACTCATGTCAGTTCATGATGAAATCCTCCAACCAATCAAACAAAATCCCTTCAAAACCAATACTTAATAATCACATTATTTTTACTTCTACCTTGAAGTGCTAGCATCTGACTGTCTTTAGGTTTTATGAGCAACCGACAGGAATAAACGTTATTTTCCTCACTAAATGTTGCCAACCACACTACCACTGCGATTAATTGACACAAGACAAATAAACTACTCCTGTTTAGTACCTTCCAGGAGTTGATTGAATTTGCAGCATATCTAGAAGCTTCTTCACAGATGCTAGCTGAATTTTAAGGTACAAAACTAGTTCAGTAACTTGGTCTCAGATACACAATGACTTTATTTTAAATCTTATTATCTAAATTAAAAAATTTCCTGCTTTAAAATATTTTTTATTTGGCAAGAATGTGCCAAAATTGATCATATAATGTGTAGACAGCCAAAACAACAAAATATCTCAAAATCTTAAAAGTAAAGTTATATCAAACGTCCTATACTGGACATACATTTTGGTCCCATAATAAAATATTAACGCTTTTAGCAAAATATTCTTAATGAGATTCTACTGAAATGGTCATTATTGTTGTTATTATTGCACTTTGTAGGCATGGAGGCCATAAAAGTTGACCTGAAGTAAACTGAAACTATTCCGTTGTGAATTAATATCAGTTAAATTATTATTATTTTTTCATAGAAAAAAAAATGAAAAAATCACTCAACTGTTTATAAATGAACTAATTCTAACTGTAACAGGAAAATAAACAAATGTAACAATCCTTCATGTTTTCATAGGCAGAAGTGTAAACAATATTTTATAAACAGCCCATTAATGCTACCTTTCTCTCTCGCATTATATATATACATATTTCCATTTGTGACTTTTAGTTTTAGAAAACACAGCCTATTGTGAACACACTCATTCATTGATTTGCTTGACTCCCACCTAAACTATATAATAATAACAGAAGCTTCATTTTCGACAAAATGTTTACACAATTTACAGAACTTTCAGCGTAATTTCCTGCTTAATGCTTTCTCTTTATTCAGAAACTCCAAGTAAAACAGAAATTCACAGTATGTCATGTATTGTTCGATCTGAGGCATAGACTAATCCCTTATAATATTTTTCCTTCGTCTCCAAGAAATGTGCACTAGTAGTCTGAAAGACAATTCAAAATGTGCGTGACTACATTTTGCAACCCAAGGACATAAGTGAGTAGTTAAAACAATACGAATCAGAGAAAATAAGATGCTGTGTATTGAATGAAAATTCAGACAGCCCACTGATTCAAGTGGTACGCCACCAGCTATCACAAACAGGAAAATTATCTCTCAGTGTCTAAAGGTAACGATGCTTAAGCAGATAATTATTAAAGATAAAACAATTTGTTGTAGATTTCTGCATTTTTTTTAACCACTTCAAAGTTGAATTAAGATTCGTTAGTAAGTGGGACTAAAATCGTGTTAGGTTAAACATTCTTAATAAACCCTAATTTTAAAACAACCGTCCAACATACTGACATTTAATTCACTCCGAGGGGTAATCAGAAATATGTATTCTGCATCATTACTGAAGTCACGCAAAAATTACATCAACAAATTTCCCTTCACAGATAGAAACTTTTAGCAAGCATAAAGAGAAAGCAGTTTACCTTACTTGAGTCAGGAAAAAAGTTGAATTAATGGATTTGTAAGCCACTTGAATAAGGTATTCCATTAATGACAATGAGTGCAATTTAGTTGCCAATCAATAGATAAATAAAGGTTTTCTAAAGTATTATAAGTTTCCAGACCGTAGGTGTTACGGACTTCCTGGAATAATTTGAGCGCCGAGTCAGATTGATTCATCTGTGGCTTACACAGCGAAACGTTCAGAAAAATCTTGTTTTGATTTTCTTAACACGCTGGGATTAATTTAAATAATTTATAATGAATTTCTACAGCAGGTTAGTAAGAAATACTAATGTCAAGAAATGATACAGCTAACTCAACATCTGTTACCTGAAAGTAACTCATAAGTTTGTATGGATAGTTTCAGAATATCAGGTACTTATTTTACCGCGCATAAGATGCCCTACTTTGAATAGATGAAAGAACTACATGTTAAAACCTCTGCCCCAACAATAAATACTTTCCAGCATATAATATATGTATTCAAATAACTATTAACAGTTTGAAAAAATTTGGACATTGGGTATATGATATTAATTATAATAAAGGTTTTTGTATTTCCCAATGAATGAAAAACAAAACGATATTGTTTTAACTGACGTTTAGCTATTTAATGCTCATGGCTTTATTATTTTATTGAAATGTCTAATCATCGGTTTTATTATTATTTAATAATACTTTGATAAAGCTATTAGCATTAAATAGCGAAACGTCAGTAAAAACAATATCGTTTTGTTTTTCATTCATTGAGAAATACAAAAACCTTTATTATAATCAAATAACTATTATTTATCAGTTACTAAGTGTGCTATGTAAAGAAATCAGAAATCAAGTATTCACAAATTGTTTGACAACTCAAACAGTCTATAATATATATTTAGGGACTAAGCATTAATGATTAGTGCCAGGTAAAAATGCTAAACTACACATGAGAATAATAAGTTCTTGGATGACTTACCGTTCAATAAAAGCCTTCATATTTTTTTGTAAGATACTTTGTTTTTCAGTTCAGATAATATATGAATAAATGAGTCTACTTAATATGCAGAGGATCAGTTGTTAATTTGATACTTTTAACAGGAAAAATTGATATAAAGATTAAGATTTTTTCCCTTCAGTTTAACATTTTAAATTGCCTTTTTATTAAGAGCCAATTTTTAAAAAATGATTTGATACTTATCGTTAATATCCTATTGGGTAAATTGTAAACTACCAATCAAAATACAGTTAATAGTAGACTAGTATCTGTAATCAAAATAGGTATTTGTTTTAATAGATTCACTGAAAATCGCTTAAGTATGCAGACCGATATCTTCTAGATAAGAATTTTAGTTCTGAATACATTACTTAAGTAATTTTAATATCTCCATAATTTATTCCGGAGAAGAAAAATTAGAATGAACAACTGTTTTCAATAAATTATACTTCAGGCTGTACAATTATAAATCTAGTAAATTTAGTAGTATTCAGTAGTCAGAGAAGGCAAATTAGAATTAAAACGGAAAGTTTATTGTGTTACAAGATGTGCAAGATGAAGTAATAGTCAGTGAGTTTTGATTATCAGTTAAGTGTAAACACTTAGTGTGTAACCTGAAGCTTATACTAAAAGAAAGCGGATATTCGGAGAACTTTTTTTGAAAAAGCACATGAAACCGATAGATAAGGTAATATTGGATACGGTAGAGAAGTCACAACGGTGAAGTCACTGCAGATGTTAACTTAACAAATGGATTGAGAGAACATTCCCTGCAACTAAACCGGTACTCACACAATAAGTCAAGGACGAATTACCAATGGTGCCCTTACTAATGTTCATTTATGAATTTAACTGCTCCTGTAGAGCCAGTTACATAAGCCGTGCTCAGACAGCTGTATTCACGTACTCACGTGAACATTTACCCGCATAATTGAGTAAAGGAGAGTAAATAATAATGGTCTTAGCCTACTTAAGAGATACTAAACATTCAGTAAAACCGCAGCAGGCGTCTTCAGTGACCTGCTGAGACCATGGTAGTCTATTTAGAAGAGTTAGACTACGTTTTCGATCAGTAACTGAAGCGGTAGCAGTCACCTACAGAAGACCTAGTATGTGTATCCAGAAGGAGTATAATCAGCCTCTTTGTTTACCTTAACCTAATAATAATAATCTACTTTATTCCAAAAACAGTACTTATAATACAGAATGGAATTCTCAGCATTTGTCACAATATTGCATCTGATTTACTCAAAATATAAATAAAATTAAAAATTAAAACAAAATTAACCAGAGGAATTTGTCCACGTTTACTATATAAAGTCAAAAATATTCGAAGCACGAATTGAGAATATTAAATATAATAATTATAATAATAATAACAGTGAGTTTGTTTCAAACAGTATTGTCGATTCAGTTTGGAAATTTTAGCATTTTATAGATTATTGAATCTAATGTTCTGTTGATATAGTATGGTGAGGGGAAATACAAAATTAACAGTTATAACACAGCTTAAATGATGTTCACACTTATGAAAAAATAAACAAAAACAAAAAATTGAGAGGATTATAAATATAAGAAGTACAATAACAATAAAGGTTGATGTTGTAAGGGCGGAGGAAATGGTTTATTTAGTAGTGCAAAGAAGGTTAGTTAGTTCATGCCTAACACTATTTTCATCACATAAAGTACGTGCCAAATATGGTATAGTGGAATTTTTATACTTAGACGTACGTGCATAAAGTCTTCTGAAAAGACTTCTTGTTTTACCTGAGGAGACACAAGGTTGGAGCTGCGGGTAAAGGGGGTGCTCAGAGTCTGATAAATTCCTTTAGCAAATTTGTTGCATGACATCAAGTGCCTATCAGTGACAGTGTCAACGATATGGCCCAATGGGATACCACTCGCCTTACTGACAGTCTTCAGAGTTCTACGAAGTATGACAAAGTCTTTTTTAAGCAATCCAGGAAAGAATAAGGGTGAACAGTAAAGAAGAATAGGTAAAATACACGAGTTGACAAACTGTAAGAGGAGGAGTTGGGTTATGCCTGAGTGTCTTAACTTCTCAATGTAAAAAGTCAGACGAAATATTCTTTTAGAAATCGCTAAGACATGGGAAGACCAGGATAGGTCAGAAGAAAGAATTAATCCAGGATACTTAACTTCAGACTTGGTTTCTATATCAGTATCATCAATTTTGCAAGGGTCATAGGAACCAACAGCCTCATTTAACTTTCTTTTACATCGGAAACTGAAATTAACAGTCTGACATTTGGAAGGATTAAGTTTAAGGCCATTAGACGAAGACCATTTGCTAATTTCTGATAGAAAGCTGTTCATCTTAGTACAGTCAAGCTGGGAGTTAACAGACATTGAAATAGTTAGATCATCTGCATACTTAACAAAGTTCATTTCATCAGAGTGAGGCAAGTCATGCAAGAAGAAAGAAAACAGAAAAGGAGAAAGGACAGCGCCTTGAGGGACACCAGCCTCAGTAAGCAATGAAGTGGACAACTTTCCCTGACATACAGTGTACTGCTTTCTTCCTGAGAAATAAGAATGCAGCCATTTGACAACCCAACAGTCAGTTTGAGTTTCAGCAAGCTTGTTTAACAAAATATCCCTAGGTACTGAGTCGAAAGCAGATGTGTAATCTAGGAAGGTGCAGCGAACAAATTTAGCCCCCTTGTCTAAGCTGGGGACAATGTTATGATACAAGACTGCAGCTGCATCTAAAGTACTTCTACTGTGTTTATAGGCGACAATTCCTTCATAAACACTTGTAATTAATTATTAGGTGTTAGTTTGCAAGGATTTCATTGGTGACAGGATTGATTAGCAGTTGCACCAAATAAAAATCACGAATTGCCAGAAGTTGGAATTCAAAGGCCATTGGGTAGGGTCCCAGTGGCTTAATGGTCTTCGAGATCGCCTTGTAACCAGAAGGTCCTGAGTTCGAACTCCAGTGGGTGCGCAGTAATGAAGAGTCCCAAACTAGGACGAAACAGGTGTCCAGTACCCCCAGGTTTTCCGATGGTTCTCTAACTGATGTCAGCTCATGATCAATCCTGTAACTTCAAATCTCAATCACTTTTTTGTCCCCTCAGTTTCTTATACACACGTTTAGTTTAGACTTTTAACGATTTAATGACTCTTCTTATTATTAATATCTGTTATCCTAGATCCACGCAATGCTTTGCAATCTTATTATCGTATTTACACAATCTTTTTCATTCTTTATTACCCGATAATCGTTCACTAATAGTACTTTTGTATTCACACCACACCGTCGTTATTTTATTATTTTTACTTATTGACCTTGAACTTACGTCTAGCGTAAACCGTTTGTTGGGTTATTTCGTTGTAGCATTTATACTGTCTCACACCACTGACTATACTCACCCTTGAAAACTGTACTTTTTGTTGAGTATGCATACACAACAGATTACTGAATTCATATGAACTGTGATCAAGATTTGACCGGATAGTTGAAAATAATTGAGCGCTGAGTGAGACAAATTAAAACATGAGTTGTTCCTTTATATATAAACCTGTTTATTTTAATTCGATTAATTTCCCTGAAGAAGTTCGGACCAGATTGCCGAACGAAACGTTGGAATTAATCATTTCAATTTCGCTGAGATTTTACAAATATAATTTTATAAAAGATTACTGAATTATTTAGTTTTATCTCATGTTCTTATTGGCTGTACACTTTATATGGTTCTTAATGATTGTCAAAACTCACTGACTGTTATTCCACATTGTACTTGTACCACTATACACTTTCTGACTTCATTCTGATTTTCCTTTATTGGCTATTGAATGCTAAAATTAATGAATTTAAAATTGTAGACCTTAAAGGACACTTGTTCTCTCTAATTTCTAGAATAGTGTAAAATATGTTTTCGGTGAAAAATATCACTTCATTTCTTAATGTCAGAGTCTAACTACTGGAGATTGAAAAATGATTGAAAAGTGTTACTAAAATGAGAAACTTATTAGGCTGTTTCCAGTCAAATAATGTTAGTGGTTCCATCTTTGCTTTATTCCGAGTGGAACATAGGGCTTCAAGCTTTGACCTTTGAGGTTCTAGTAGCTGTGGTGCCATTTTTACAGGGTGGAGATGCTAGCCTCACGCCCAACCTTTTCTCTTTACCGCATTTACTATAGATTAAGCTAAGTTTCGGAAACAATCTGGCGGGTTTAAATCCCTGAAAATGTGCATGCTTAACCAGTATTCTACCGCTGAGACACCGACCCACAGCTTTTCTATCTTCATTGTTATTATTATTATTAGATTCTGAGTATAATGAAGGGCTTCAACAACACATCTACACTTTGTTATATTTTATGCTTTCCTCTTCAGCTTGGTCCACAATTGCCCATAATCTCTCATCTTCTCCTCGCACAATCTCCTCCATGTCGTGCTCGCACTGACGACCAGCCCGTCGTTTCCCTTTTGGGTTCTATTTGAGCAATGGCCTGGGGCGTGATGTCACTCAACGGTCTATTTAGTGTGTGCCCAGTCCGTCTCCATTTTCTCCTACATATTTGTTGAGCGATCGGCTCTTGGTTGGTATGTTCCCAGCCAAAGTTGCTAGTTCTTTCTGGCCGGTCACATGATCTTCAGTATGGAGCCAGAGAAGGCATCTGTTCATAATAGTCCGTAACTTGTTGGAAATGCTTTTCTTGACGTCCATACCAGGTTTCTGACCCATATAGAAGAACTGGTGTGACATCGGTCTTGAAAATCCGAATCTTGTTACTTATGCTGACTACAGAGGATTTCCAAATTGATATCAGACTGATGAAAATCTTTCTCGCCTATCCGATTCTGGCCTCCTTTGACATCTTCATCCGTTCCGACTGCCTGGGGTTGAAACAATGCTTCCTAGATAAATGAAAGAAGAAACCTCTGTCAAATCTCTCCCGTTGTTGCTGCTGTCGGTTGGTTGGTTATCTTCATCACCTCCGTCTTCTCCATGTTCACTTGCAGTCCCGTATTCTCCGCCTGCCTCGCCTATTCAGCCAGTTTGTTGGTTTTCGTCAGTCTCTACGTCTTCGAGTTTGTGTGACATTAGACATATATCATATGCGAAATCCAAATCTTCTAGAGTCTTCTTATCAGTGGTCCAGTGTATTCCTGTCTTCTCACTCCCTGTGCACATTCTGAC